TAACTCCTTTGACTAGACTGTACTAAAATAAGACGTTTCACTGTTAAATAAAAAATGGAAGTAGAAAATCGAGATAATGATGAGGTTCGTTATGTATCCAGTAACTATGAACAGCAGTTGAAAATGTTATTTAACCCTTTAACTCTAATAGACAAATCTAAAATAGCCTCTAGCTTATCTATAAGTTTGTGATTTTAACACTTATTCACTGACACAAGGCAGATTTTGGCTTTTTTCTCATGCCAAGATACTTTTAGACACACTTTGAGGTATGCAAAACCTTAAAACTAGAAAATGAAGTACATTGTCTGATTAGATTTTTTCTTAAAGACTGTTTCTCTAAAAGGCAAGTTTTGTGATTTTTAACACTTTTTTACTTTTTTTTCTCTTTTCTTGTGTTACCAAGATACTTTTAGATACACTTTTGATGTATGCAACACTTAACAAAAGGGTATAATATGAAGTACTTTGTAAGGAATGGGGGTTTCTTTAATACCCCGTTTTTTATTTTTAAAAAACACTTGTACAGTTAAATAATGTAGGTTTTCTCTGATATTTTAGTTATTTTCAGCTACCAAGATACTTTTTTGATACACTTTAATGTAGGAACATTTGGCAACTGGTAGAATGTCAATTATTTTGTAATAAAATGTATTTTCTTAAAGACTGTGACTCTAAAAGGGGAAGTTTTTTTTTTTTTTTCTCCCGTTGTCTTTCACTTACTTTTTGGATACAGTTTTATGTATGACAACTTTACAACTGGTAGAAAGTTAAGTACTTTTTCTGAACAGATTTTCTTTAAGACTGTGACTCTTAAAGGTAAGACAATCCAGTTTTATAGAAGTAACTTAAATTATTATTTTTTTTTGTTTTTTCTCCTACAAAGATACTTATAGTTACACTTTAATGGATGCAAAACTTTATAACTTGGTAAAATATTCATTATTTTGTAATGAATTGAGTTTTCTTTTTTGTTTTTGTTTTTCAACATACTATTGTACACAATGACTTTTCCATATATATATATATATGTATATATTTTTTTATTTTTTTTTCAGACAAACTATACTTTTGACTTTTTCCGTAAAATCGTGACAAACTATTACTTATTCTTACATTTGACCTCTTGCTGCTTGGTTGGAAATGATAGATGAAAAAGCTACAAAGCTTAAAGAACTTTTCTAAAAACTCTCAATTCTACAGATGACTCCCCCCACACAACGCAATAAGTCCACGCCCCCCCCCCCCCCCCCCACTCAGCAAATCATCTAAAACGAAGGACCCCACTAAGACGCCCGTTGAAAACTAGCCAGGGATCTGAGAAAAACCAAGTCTCCCCCCGCGAGATGCAGCCAGGAACAAACTCCTGGACTACTATCGTCCCCAGCATTGTGGACACCCAAATCTTGCAATACTATAGCTGCTGATGTTACTCCTGGGGCCAAGACGTCTCTGTTTTTGAACATAGTGAAATCGGAGTTGGTTGATATTCTGGAGAGGGTGCTGCATCGGTACAGAGAAGAAATCTGCAATGGATCCCGAGTCAGTCACCCCAGCCAGAGGCAACACGATTGTGTGAATGACATTCCAGAATATTTCTTCAGAAACAATTACAACGCGTTAATGAAAAAGACTTTGGCTCGCCGACTTCATTACTGCGATTGACCAGAGTCTTAATGATATAAACATTTACATAGCTGAATGAAGGATCCAAGGCGCTTCGGAGGCTTTTCTGCACAATCTCAAAACTGCAGACGCCTCAAGGAGAGACTTGAAAAGATCCACGCCGAGCTGAATGGAGAGGAAGAAGACTAATAACCAACGGTTGATTTGAAGCCGGGGATTTTTTCGATACTTTGACTTTTCTTTAAAGTAAAATAAAAATGGGTAACTACTATGGAAAACAATCTGTATTTATCTATCAGAATGCAGTCAATACCTGTTTAATAAGTGTGTTGTTGATGACGATTGAAAACAGAATGAGTAGTGATCCCCGTGTAAACAGAACGGCTGAGGTTTGTAAACTAGAAGACATTTTGGATATCGTTCATTCTGGCAGTACTATTCCGGGTCATTGGGAAACGATTGTAAACGAAACATTTAAAGTGGTACTGGAATCTTCATTTTCCGAAACATTCTGTAACATTACCGAAGAAATGAAACAAACACCAAAAGTGTATCATGTGCTCGCATTGTATGCTTTGTTTGTAGATGTAATGCATCTTTGTGTCAAAAACAGCATACACATGAATACTTTGGCCGAAGTGCAAAAACTCCATTATAATATTTCCCTTCATCTGGGGGATTCTATGCTGGAGAAGATCCTGGGGATGTTGCAATCAGTATACATGTATTATTGATTCCTATGGGGTGAAAACAATAAATTGTAAATATGAAATTCTGCAAATAAAAAAAGTGTTTTTTACATTTTAAAAAAAAAACTGTTGTCTTCAAATCATAGTATAGTATTTCCTACATATCATTTTAAAAAAGAGTCACAGTGTAGAATGTCCAAACATTTAATTTAAAAGTACTAGTATAGTATGTTAAAAGTATCTTGAAAAAAGTCCAAGTATAGTATGTAGTTAAGAAATATATTATATAGTTTTGTCTGCAATGTCAGTATAGGATCTCTAATAAAAAAATAAAAAAATTAGAAAAAGTCATAGTATAGTTTGACAAAAAGATCCTGAAAAAGTCATGACACTGTGTGTTGAAATGGTTTTGAATAAACACATCAGTATTTTAAAAAGTAAAATTGTATCAAGTGCATCAGACAACTCAAATTACTCCATTTGAACCATATTATAAATAAGTAAAGAATGGTCATAGTATATAGCAGGGGTGTTTAATAGTTTTCTGTGTGTCGGTGTTTCAGTGTTTCTGTGTTTCAGTGTTTCAGTGTTTTGTGTTTTTGTGTGTCAGTATTTCAGTGTTTCAGTGTTTCAGTGTTTTTGTGTGTCAGTGCTTTCAGTGTTTCAGTATTTCAGTATTTCAGTGTTTTGTGTTTCAGTGTTTTGTATGTCTGTGTTTCAGTGTTTCAGTGTTTCAGTGTTTTGTGTGTCAGTGTGTCAGTGTTTACAGCCTTTCTTTGCTCTGATCAATCCCCAGGGATCCTCCCCTGGAAGGAATATAGCAGGATGAGAGAAAAACATTTAAAAAACGTATCTTAGAAGTGGCTATAGCATTTGATGCAATTCTAAAAGATAGTCAGATTCCTAAAAAGTTACAAACGGATGCTGGAAAATAATTATTTAACAAGATTTTTGAAGCCTTACTGAAGAAACAAATAATTATTTGTTCAGGTGTATATCAGTGTGTAGTGTCTCTACTTTAAAGAGTCCTCTCCTGCTGATGTTCAGGTGTATATCAGTATGTAGTGTCTCTACTTTAAAGAGTCCTCTCCTGCTGATGTTCAGGTGTATATCAGTATGTAGTGTCTCTACTTTAAAGAGTCCTCTCCTGCTGATGTTCAGGTGTATATCAGTATGTAGTGTCTCTACTTTAAAGAGTCCTCTCCTGCTGATGTTCAGCTGTATATCAGTATGTAGTGTCTCTACTTTAAAGAGTCCTCTCCTGCTGATGTTCAGGTGGATATCAGTATGTAGTGTCTCTACTTTAAAGAGTCCTCTCCTGCTGATGTTCAGGCGTATATCAGTATGTAGTGTCTCTACTTTAAAGAGTCCTCTCCTGCTGATGTTCAGGTGTATATCAGTATGTAGTGTCTCTACTTTAAAGAGTCCTCTCCTGCTGATGTTCAGGTGTATATCAGTATGTAGTGTCTCTACTTTAAAGAGTCCTCTCCTGCTGATGTTCAGCTGTATATCAGTATGTAGTGTCTCTACTTTAAAGAGTCCTCTCCTGCTGATGTTCAGGTGTTTATCAGTATGTAGTGTCTCTACTTTAAAGAGTCCTCTCCTGCTGATGTTCAGGTGTATATCAGTATGTAGTGTCTCTACTTTAAAGAGTCCTCTCCTGCTGATGTTTGGGTGTATATCAGTATGTAGTGTCTCTACTTTAAAGAGTCCTCTCCTGCTGATGTTCAGGTGTATATCAGTATGTAGTGTCTCTACTTTAAAGAGTCCTCTCCTGCTGATGTTCAGGTGTATATCAGTATGTAGTGTCTCTACTTTAAAGAGTCCTCTCCTGCTGATGTTCAGCTGTATATCAGTATGTAGTGTCTCTACTTTAAAGAGTCCTCTCCTGCTGATGTTCAGGTGTATATCAGTATGTAGTGTCTCTACTTTAAAGAGTCCTCTCCTGCTGATGTTCAGGTGTATATCAGTATGTAGTGTCTCTACTTTAAAGAGTCCTCTCCTGCTGATGTTCAGGTGTATATCAGTATGTAGTGTCTCTACTTTAAAGAGTCCTCTCCTGCTGATGTTCAGGTGGATATCAGTATGTAGTGTCTCTACTTTAAAGAGTCCTCTCCTGCTGATGTTCAGGTGTATATCAGTATGTAGTGTCTCTACTTTAAAGAGTCCTCTCCTGCTGATGTTCATGTGTATATCAGTATGTAGTGTCTCTACTTTAAAGAGTAACTGCTATGTTAGCTCAGCTTGTTTCTCTGATGACTTCAGATGACCCTTCAGTAAGTAGATAGATAGATAGATGGATAGATAGATAGATAGATAGATAGATAGATAGATAGATAGATAGATAGATAGATAGATAAATGGATAGATAGATAGATGGATGGATAGATAGATAGATAGATAGATAGCTGGATAGATAGATAGATAGATAGATAGATAGATAGATAGATAGATAGATAGATAGATAGATAGATAGATAGATAGATAGATAGATGGATGGATGGATAGATAGATAGATAGATAGATAGATAGATAGATAGATAGCATCAAAAAGGCATAAGTACATAAGAGAAACTAAGACACAGAAATAAACAGTCCAATAGATTTCAGTTGACATTACACCTGACTTTATTTCTAAAAACATTGAAGATATAAAAGCAGCTGCGGTGTGTCTTCGTCTCTCAGGCGCAGACATGTCTCTGGACGAGCCTCTGGACCTGAAGCTACCCTCGGGGCGGACAGACGGACGCATCACGCTAGGAAAGAGAACATATCCCTCCGCCATCTGCAGGCCGATCTGCTTCCCCTCGCCACCCTCCTCCCCAGGTACACCTTTCTATTTGTTTTATATAATATTCCATTCCTCACATACTTATTCATATATAATATCCTGCTTTATATTCTTTTTTTTAATGCTATTTTATGTCTATTGAGAAGTTTACATTTTGGAATTTGTATTTCTGTCACAGAGTTATTCTAAGTGTCCTCATGGTCTTCAGTCTGCAGTCTCATATGTTCTGGTTCTTCACTGAGAGTTATTCTTAATTGAAAATCTCCAAATTCTGACTTTTTCCCTAAAATTCTGACTTTTTCCGAAAATCTCAAAATCGTGATTATTTTCAAAAAATCGTGATTATTTTCAAAAAATCGTGATTATTTTCAAAAAATCGTGATTATTTTCAAAAAATCGTGATTATTTTCAAAAAAATCGTGATTATTTTCAAAAAAAATCGTGATTATTTAAAAAAATCGTGATTATTTTCCAAAAATCGTGATTATTTTCCAAAAATCGTGATTATTTTCCAAAAATCGTGATTATTTTCCAAAAATCGTGATTATTTTCAAAAAAATCGTGATTATCTTCAAAAAATCGTGATTATTTTCAAAAAATTGTGATTATTTTCTGAAAATCGTGATTATTTTCTAAAAATCGTGATTATTTTCTGAAAATCTCAAAATTCATATTTCTTCCTAAAATCTCAAAATTATGACTTTTTCAGAAAATATCGAAATACTTTTAAAAGAGAGGCTTGAACAGAAAGTGTGGAAAGGGGCGGGGCTACACAGGGTGAACAGGATTAGAGAATATAATCAAACGAACATTTTATTCTCCATGCAGAGTCGCAGTTCTCCCCTCAGGATGGACCCTGCTGCAGTCCTCCAGCCGTGGACCTCCGCCTCGCCCCCCCCTCTCCCCCCTCGCCCTCCTCCCCCCCCTCCCCCCACAGCAGCCCCCGGCCTCACCTCTTCTCTCAGGTGAGACGACAACAAAACAGCCATTTCTGTTGACTTAGTGTAGAGTGTATGAGTTATGCCGCTGAGAGGCTAAAACTCGCTCTTCGCTGTGACGCGTTCCATATGAGAGTCTGTAGTCATCTAGAGTCTGTAGTCATCTAGAGTCTGTAGTCATCTAGAGTCTGTAGTCATCTAGAGTCTGTAGTCATCTAGAGTCTGTAGTCATCTATAGTCTGTAGTCATCTATAGTCTGTAGTCATCTATAGTCTGTAGTCATCTAGAGTCTGTAGTCATCTATAGTCTGTAGTCATCTATAGTCTGTAGTCATCTAGAGTCTGTAGTCATCTAGAGTCTGTAGTCATCTATAGTCTGTAGTCATCTAGAGTCTGTAGTCATCTATAGTCTGTAGTCATCTATAGTCTGTAGTCATCTATAGTCTGTAGTCATCTAGAGTCTGTAGTCATCTATAGTCTGTAGTCATCTATAGTCTGTAGTCTCTAGAGCTGTAGTCATCTAGAGTCTGTAGTCATCTATAGTCTGTAGTCATCTAGAGTCTGTAGTCATCTCATCTAGAGTCTGTAGTCTCTAGAGTCTGTAGTCATCTATAGTCTGTAGTCATCTAGAGTCTGTAGTCATCTAGAGTCTGTAGTCATCTATAGTCTGTAGTCATCTAGAGTCTGTAGTCATCTATAGTCTGTAGTCATCTATAGTCTGTAGTCATCTATAGTCTGTAGTCATCTAGAGTCTGTAGTCATCTAGAGTCTGTAGTCATCTATAGTCTGTAGTCATCTATAGTCTGTAGTCATCTAGAGTCTGTAGTCATCTATAGTCTGTAGTCATCTATAGTCTGTAGTCATCTATAGTCTGTAGTCATCTAGAGTCTGTAGTCATCTATAGTCTGTAGTATCTATAGTCTGTAGTCATCTAGAGTCTGTAGTCATCTATAGTCTGTAGTCCATCTATAGTCTGTAGTCATCTATAGTCTGTAGTCATCTATAGTCTGTAGTCATCTAGAGTCTGTAGTCATCTATAGTCTGTAGTCATCTATAGTCTGTAGTCATCTAGAGTCTGTAGTCATCTAGAGTCTGTAGTCATCTAGAGTCTGTAGTCATCTAGAGTCTGTAGTCATCTATAGTCTGTAGTCATCTAGAGTCTGTAGTCATCTATAGTCTGTAGTCATCTAGAGTCTGTAGTCATCTATAGTCTGTAGTCATCTATAGTCTGTAGTCATCTATAGTCTGTAGTCATCTAGAGTCTGTAGTCATCTAGAGTCTGTAGTCATTCTAGAGTCCTGTAGTCATCTAGAGTCTGTAGTCATCTATAGTCTGTAGTCATCTAGAGTCTGTAGTCATCTATAGTCTGTAGTCATCTAGAGTCTGTAGTCATCTAGAGTCTGTAGTCATCTAGAGTCTGTAGTCATCTATAGTCTGTAGTCATCTATAGTCTGTAGTCATCTAGAGTCTGTAGTCATCTATAGTCTGTAGTCATCTATAGTCTGTAGTCATCTATAGTCTGTAGTCATCTATAGTCTGTAGTCATCTATAGTCTGTAGTCATCTAGAGTCTGTAGTCATCTAGAGTCTGTAGTCATCTAGAGTCTGTAGTCATCTATAGTCTGTAGTCATCTAGAGTCTGTAGTCATCTATAGTCTGTAGTCATCTATAGTCTGTAGTCATCTAGAGTCTGTAGTCATCTATAGTCTGTAGTCATCTAGAGTCTGTAGTCATCTAGAGTCTGTAGTCATCTATAGTCTGTAGTCATCTAGAGTCTGTAGTCATCTAGAGTCTGTAGTCATCTAGAGTCTGTAGTCATCTAGAGTCTGTAGTCATCTATAGTCTGTAGTCATCTAGAGTCTGTAGTCATCTAGAGTCTGTAGTCATCTATAGTCGTATCGTCTATAGTCTGTAGTCATCTATAGTCTGTAGTCATCTAGAGTCTGTAGTCATCTATAGTCTGTAGTCATCTAGAGTCTGTAGTCATCTAGAGTCTGTAGTCATCTATAGTTAGTCATCTAGAGTCTGTAGTCATCTAGAGTCTGTAGTCCTCTAGTCTGTAGTCATCTAGAGTCTGTAGTCATCTATAGTCTGTAGTCATCTAGAGTCTGTAGTCATCTAGAGTCTGTAGTCATCTAGAGTCTGTAGTCATCTAGAGTCTGTAGTCATCTATAGTCTGTAGTCATCTATAGTCTGTAGTCATCTAGAGTCTGTAGTCATCTAGAGTCTGTAGTCATCTAGAGTCTGTAGTCATCTATAGTCTGTAGTCATCTAGAGTCTGTAGTCATCTAGAGTCTGTAGTCATCTATAGTCTGTAGTCATCTATAGTCTGTAGTCATCTAGAGTCTGTAGTCATCTATAGTCTGTAGTCATCTAGAGTCTGTAGTCATCTAGAGTCTGTAGTCATCTATAGTCTGTAGTCATCTATAGTCTGTAGTCATCTAGAGTCTGTAGTCATCTAGAGTCTGTAGTCATCTATAGTCTGTAGTCATCTATAGTCTGTAGTCATCTAGAGTCTGTAGTCATCTATAGTCTGTAGTCATCTATAGTCTGTAGTCATCTAGAGTCTGTAGTCATCTAGAGTCTGTAGTCATCTATAGTCTGTAGTCATCTAGAGTCTGTAGTCATCTAGAGTCTGTAGTCATCTATAGTCTGTAGTCATCTAGAGTCTGTAGTCATCTAGAGTCTGTAGTCATCTATAGTCTGTAGTCATCTAGAGTCTGTAGTCATCTAGAGTCTGTAGTCATCTATAGTCTGTAGTCATCTAGAGTCTGTAGTCATCTATAGTCTGTAGTCATCTAGAGTCTGTAGTCATCTATAGTCTGTAGTCATCTATAGTCTGTAGTCATCTATAGTCTGTAGTCATCTAGAGTCTGTAGTCATCTATAGTCTGTAGTCATCTATAGTCTGTAGTCATCTATAGTCTGTAGTCATCTATAGTCTGTAGTCATCTATAGTCTGTAGTCATCTAGAGTCTGTAGTCATCTATAGTCTGTAGTCATCTAGAGTCTGTAGTCATCTATAGTCTGTAGTCATCTATAGTCTGTAGTCATCTATAGTCCTGTAGTCATCTAGAGTCCTGTAGTCATCTATAGTCTGTAGTCATCTATAGTCTGTAGTCATCTAGAGTCTGTAGTCATCTAGAGTCTGTAGTCATCTAGAGTCTGTAGTCATCTAGAGTCTGTAGTCATCTAGAGTCTGTAGTCATCTATAGTCTGTAGTCATCTAGAGTCTGTAGTCATCTAGAGTCTGTAGTCATCTAGAGTCTGTAGTCATCTAGAGTCTGTAGTCATCTATAGTCTGTAGTCATCTATAGTCTGTAGTCATCTATAGTCTGTAGTCATCTAGAGTCTGTAGTCATCTAGAGTCTGTAGTCATCTATAGTCTGTAGTCATCTATAGTCTGTAGTCATCTATAGTCTGTAGTCATCTAGAGTCTGTAGTCATCTAGAGTCTGTAGTCATCTAGAGTCTGTAGTCATCTAGAGTCTGTAGTCATCTAGAGTCTGTAGTCATCTAGAGTCTGTAGTCATCTATAGTCTGTAGTCATCTATAGTCTGTAGTCATCTATAGTCTGTAGTCATCTAGAGTCTGTAGTCATCTAGAGTCTGTAGTCATCTATAGTCTGTAGTCATCTATAGTCTGTAGTCATCTATAGTCTGTAGTCATCTATAGTCTGTAGTCATCTAGAGTCTGTAGTCATCTAGAGTCTGTAGTCATCTAGAGTCTGTAGTCATCTATAGTCTGTAGTCATCTATAGTCTGTAGTCATCTATAGTCTGTAGTCATCTAGAGTCTGTAGTCATCTAGAGTCTGTAGTCATCTATAGTCTGTAGTCATCTATAGTCTGTAGTCATCTAGAGTCTGTAGTCATCTAGAGTCTGTAGTCATCTAGAGTCTGTAGTCATCTAGAGTCTGTAGTCATCTAGAGTCTGTAGTCATCTAGAGTCTGTAGTCATCTAGAGTCTGTAGTCATCTATAGTCTGTAGTCATCTATAGTCTGTAGTCATCTATAGTCTGTAGTCATCTAGAGTCTGTAGTCATCTAGAGTCTGTAGTCATCTAGAGTCTGTAGTCATCTATAGTCTGTAGTCATCTATAGTCTGTAGTCATCTAGAGTCTGTAGTCATCTAGAGTCTGTAGTCATCTAGAGTCTGTAGTCATCTATAGTCTGTAGTCATCTATAGTCTGTAGTCATCTAGAGTCTGTAGTCATCTATAGTCTGTAGTCATCTAGAGTCTGTAGTCATCTATAGTCTGTAGTCATCTAGAGTCCTGTAGTCATCTATAGTCTGTAGTCATCTAGAGTCTGTAGTCATCTAGAGTCTGTAGTCATCTATAGTCTGTAGTCATCTAGAGTCTGTAGTCATCTAGAGTCTGTAGTCATCTAGAGTCTGTAGTCATCTAGAGTCTGTAGTCATCTAGAGTTTGTAGTCATCTATAGTCTGTAGTCATCTAGAGTCTGTAGTCATCTAGAGTCTGTAAGTCATCTATAGTCTGTAGTCATCTATAGTCTGTAGTCATCTAGAGTCTGTAGTCATCTATAGTCTGTAGTCATCTAGAGTCTGTAGTCATCTAGAGTCTGTAGTCATCTATAGTCTGTAGTCATCTAGAGTCTGTAGTCATCTCTGTAGTCATCTATAGTCTGTAGTCATCTATAGTCTGTAGTCATCTATAGTCTGTAGTCATCTAGAGTCTGTAGTCATCTAGAGTCTGTAGTCATCTAGAGTCTGTAGTCATCTATAGTCTGTAGTCATCTAGAGTCTATAGTCATCTATAGTCTGTAGTCATCTATAGTCTGTAGTCATCTAGAGTCTGTAGTCATCTATAGTCTGTAGTCATCTATAGTCTGTAGTCATCTATAGTCTGTAGTCATCTAGAGTCTGTAGTCATCTATAGTCTGTAGTCATCTAGAGTCTGTAGTCATCTATAGTCTGTAGTCATCTAGAGTCTGTAGTCATCTAGAGTCTGTAGTCATCTATAGTCTGTAGTCATCTAGAGTCTGTAGTCATCTAGAGTCTGTAGTCATCTAGAGTCTGTAGTCATCTAGAGTCTGTAGTCATCTATAGTCTGTAGTCATCTAGAGTCTGTAGTCATCTATAGTCTGTAGTCATCTAGAGTCTGTAGTCATCTAGAGTCTGTAGTCATCTAGAGTCTGTAGTCATCTATAGTCTGTAGTCATCTAGAGTCTGTAGTCATCTATAGTCTGTAGTCATCTAGAGTCTGTAGTCATCTAGAGTCTGTAGTCATCTATAGTCTGTAGTCATCTAGAGTCTGTAGTCATCTATAGTCTGTAGTCATCTAGAGTCTGTAGTCATCTAGAGTCTGTAGTCATCTCTGTAGTCATCTATAGTCTGTAGTCATCTATAGTCTGTAGTCATCTAGAGTCTGTAGTCATCTATAGTCTGTAGTCATCTAGAGTCTGTAGTCATCTAGAGTCTGTAGTCATCTAGAGTCTGTAGTCATCTAGAGTCTGTAGTCATCTAGAGTCTGTAGTCATCTAGAGTCCATGGCGTTTCATAAAGACGAAAAACAAACAATGTACTACCCAGAAAGTATCAGAGCAATTCACCCTCTCCTCTACGTCAGGGGTGCCCACACCTTTTTGGCCGGTGAGCTACTTTTGAAATGACCAGCTCACCGCTCAGGTCTAACAACCAAAAATAAAATCCCAAATTGCAACACGCTTTATTTATACATGGGATAACTACAACAACTCTATTTGGGTTCTTGAACAGAAACAAGTACATGAAACTAAAATGGCATGTTAACCTCTCTCTCTCTCTCTCTCTCTCTCCTCTCTCTCCTCTCTCTCTCTCTCTCTCTCCTCTCTCTCTCTCTCTCTCTCTCTCTCTCTCTCTCAATATCATGGTCTTCACTAAACGGAGAGCACATGAATGTGGCGATTGGCTCGAGCAAAGCGAAGTCTCGGGAAGCGTTTCTGGAAGTCAGATGTAATGTTATTGACTTGCTCTGTGTAGCGCGCACTGTCAAGGAGCGCGCTGTCCTTCCCTTGCTTCTCCAGCTCAGAGGCGATGTTTTGGAAGTTGCAGATTTGAACACAGCAGATGCAGTCTTCGTTTAAAGGCATTCACTGAGCTGATCATGTCAACCACAGTTCTGTCTTTCCCTTGTAGCTCCAAGTTCAGCTCATTCAACATGTGTGTAATGTCAAACGCCAGGTCTAACAGCCACTCCTCGTCATCTAGACGTGCGTACTCCGCAAGCTTGGTGCCATGGAGAAATTCCTTTATCTCCGGTAGAAGCACTCGAAATCTCTGGAGAAAATGGCCCGTACTCAGCCATCTTACGTGTGTAGTAAGAGGTCAGTGTGAACACAGTCGGCATCCTCCAGATATGCACGAAACAGCAGTCTTTGAAGAGGTCTTGCCCGAATAGAACAGGCCACTTTAAGTGACACATCCATGACCTCTTTCATGTTCAGCATGTTTGCACAAAGTGCGTGCTGGTGTATGATGCAGTGATAACTCAGAAAGTCAGGGAATGTGTCATCCTCTCTGCATTTTGCGATGAAGCCATTACCACGGCCCATCATCGCAGGCGCACCATCCGTTGTGATGGAACTCAACTTAGAGATGGGGAGTTTAGTGTTGTCAACAAAGTTTTTAAATGTCCGAAAAATGTCCTCGCCCCGAGTGTGTTCCTTCATTGGCAGAATTGTCAGCAGTTCCTCTTTCGCCGTCATGTCTGTGAACACCATCCGGATAAAAACGCACAATTGCGCTGTATCGCTCACGTCAGTGGACTCGTGTAGTTGGAGTGAGAAACACTCGCAGTCTTCTATGTCCTTCCTGAGTTGCTGGGTCAAATCCTCAGCCATGACTTCACAGCGACGTGTGACTGTGCTCCGTGATAATTGGACGGCCTTGATAGCGTTTACTATTTCTGTTTTGTTTGTGTAATCCCGAAACAAGGCGTCTGCTGCTTCTACAAAGGCTTCTTCCACCATCTCTCCATCTTGAAAGGATTTGTTGTGTTTGATTGTAGCGTGACTCACTCGTGGAGATGCTTCAGTGGCTGCCTTTGAGGTGGATGTCGGCTTTAAGAAAAGTGACTGCTGTCCAGCTAATTGTGACTTAAGTTCCCTCACCTTTCTCTTTCTCTACTCGCTACTCGGAGGGAAGTCGCTGTCCTATGCCTTGTGAACACTCCGATAATGCCTCTCCACGTTACCTTTCTTTGGCAGAGCGACGCTTGCTTTACAAATAACCTTTGGATGTGACATCACAAAAACATATTCTTCCTCCCATTCTGTTGTTTGTCTCTTTAACTTAGTTTGAGTTTTCCCGGCACTTGACTGATTTTGTATCGCTTTGCATTCTGGGTTAAGAGACTGGAAAGCGATAGGTCGCTTTTTCTGTCAATCAAGTAAACTCCTGAAGTAAGTGGCAGGGAGGAGGGATCAAAACCGGTTTTGTCTATTTTAACGGAGCTGGATTTTTTTTGTATGAATGACTCGCGATCTACCAGCATTGCCCCTGCGGTCGACATACTGGGCACCTCTGCTCTACGTCATATCCCTAAACCGGCATCCAACAGGTGACTGAACACCAACAAACCACACCCACGTGACCATTGCCGGAAGTGATAAACAATAACAATGACAAATGATGCAAACAGAAATCAAGATAATAATATAAATAATAACAAGGGCAAAACGAGCATTATCGCTCCTACATCCCGCCGGACCCTGATCCTGACGTTTTAAGGATATTTAATATTGTAAATCTAAAACAATGAACAAACAAGTACAAGATCTGAGTACTTCTACTTTTACTCAAGTACCAGATCTGAGTACTTCTACTTTTACTCAAGTATAAGATCTGAGTACTTCTACTTTTACTCAAGTACCAGATCTGAGTACTTCTACTTTTACTCAAGTACAAGATCTGAGTACTTCTACTTTTACTCAAGTACCAGATCTGAGTACTTCTATTTTTACTCAAGTACCAGATCTGAGTACTTCTTCCCCTCTGTGTTTTACACACTGTACCATCCTGTTAATAATACTCATATCGTTTTAAACATTCTTATGCATATTTATACACCATACTCTACCCTGCTGTTTATCTTATTTATAAATGTCTGCTTATATTTGTTCTTAGTGTTGATGGTATATGTATCAGAGGTATCCAGTAACGGACCGTCCACACAGCAGCGTTAAAAAAATCTTGAAACGCTTCTGCCCATTCACTTTGAATGGGGTGACGTCATTTGCCTCACTTTTCGCCGAACTGCATTGTGGGCAGGCGAGCGGAGATTTTCAGGATTCAAAGTTGAGCAATGTCAGCTGTTCCCCTGACAGTAATATATCCTTCTCTTCTTCTGTGGTGTAGGAGGGGGCAGCGTTCCCCTTCTTCCTCCCTGTTGGGAACGCACCCCGGTTCAGCTTCCCCTCCTCGGTGCTCAGGGGGCCAATCAGAGAGCCAATCAGAGAGCCAATCAGAGAGAAGCTTCCAGAAACATCTCCGGACCCTCAGCTCACCTGCAGGTGGAGGAAGGTAGTACATACATTACATTTAATTATTTCATATGATGTTATATTATATTATTTTATATTATACTTTATTATGTTATATTATATTATATTATGTTATATTATGTTATATTATATTATATTATGTTATATTATGTTATATTATATTATGTTATATTATATTATGTTGTATTACATTATATTTCTGTTTGATATTATTTTCTTAAACCTAAGATGAGAGGCTTGCTTTGTCTCACTTTCCTTTAATATGCTTTTACGAATATATTTATTTAACTAAATATTATTATTATATTTCGTTGGACATTAAAACTATAATTATAAATATTTATTTTATATTTTCTTTGTAAAGATTATTAACCTGTTACGCACCGCCCCCGGTACCGGGCGGATAAACGCGTCATTTGCAGGAAACAACGTCTAAGGAATCTTAATATTTAATAAACTATGAATGTTTTATATCCATGTAACGGGAAGAAACTCAGCTAACCCACAATGCTAACACTGAGCCTCTGAATTACCCACGAGCGAAAAAATGTAACCTAAAACGGCACTTAAACTCACAATAACTCCCTTATTACTTATCCTAGATGCACAGCCAACCACTCGATTAGCATCTCCTGGAGACACAGAATCTGTGGGTGCCCACCTCAACACTCAGTGATAAACATTTGCGACGCTATAAACGAAAGCGTACATCATAACATGTGGAGCTAGGTAGCTAGAAACGCTAACATGGCTTACCTTGGTCAAAACTGGTCTTCAATGGCATTAAAACGATAAAAAAACGATGCTGCAGTCAGTGGCGTTTTTATATGTACAAAAGTGGTGGGGCACAAAAAACTTAGATGTCTATATATAAGCTTCTGCAGTGACGTGCAGTGAGGTTCATGGCTGCTGAGGCACTGGCACTGACTCTTCAGGTTTACAAATATTATATTTTGACCTAAACCAAAATATAATATTATTTTCAAAAGCTTTTTTGTCTGATGCTTCGATTAATTTTAAACAGACAGTTCAACAAAAGGATACCCAAAAAATGTCATTTTATCATTTAAATATTGAATTGTTCTCTCTTAGTAAGATCCCATTTTCAAAAAAATGGCGGTCTTACCTTGACTTGAAGATGAAGTCCATTTGCCTATCCTTCTGGACAAACATTTCTATTACTTTTTTGTAAAAGTCCTCCTTATGTTCTTGTAGTTTCAAAAGTCTATCATAAATCTAATCCATAGATTTAAGATAAAAAAATTATAAAAGTAGGGTAGACATGTGGATGTTATCCGGCTGATCAAAACGTGCATTTATCTAACAGGTACGTTTCCCACAGATCTTATTTCGAGCTATTTTCTAAAATCCTCTGGAGAAATCTCATTGCTTTTTTGTGCTTACTTCCTGGTTTTAGGACGCGTCACTGCAGCTCTCTCGTCTCCTCTTCACACACCACACTTTTCGCGGCACACGTACTTACAGCCAATCAGCTCTGAATGATGTGAGATGACGTATGGTGGGGATGGTAGCTCCGTGCCCCTCTGGTCATTATTTTTTTGCCACACACATTTCATTACAAAATACTCTGAGCATGCGCAGTGTAGTTTTTACAGTCACGTTCACTTCACAGCGAGAGGAAGGGGCATAATCAGGTTTTGTCCCACATGGCTCTAAACAGCTCAATAGGCACACACTGTAGACACTAATTAGAAGAACACAGACTAAAACAGCAATGTACAGACGAATCAGATGATTAAACATGATCTTAAAATATATTTTATATATTTTTTTATTTATTTTTTTGCATTTTTGTAATCATTATTTGTAATACTTTCTGCTGACACTAGGTGGGGCTGTGCCCCACCTGCCCCTAATGACCAGTCGCCACTGGCTGCAGTTAATCCATAGGTTAATCCAATGTGTCTGTGTCCTCTTTGAAATGATTTCTGATAATCCATAAGCAATAAAACTGCTTTTTCGTTTCCAAATGTCAGAGCGAGAGATCGCTTCACTCTGCTGCAAATTTACATGCGCGCAGCCCCCACCTCTTCTCTTCACAATGAGTGTGTGTGGGGGACTCCCCCTTCGATTCTATTGGCTCTAACGGTCAGAAAGAGGTGTCAACCATCAACATCGACCAAGGGGGGCCAGAGATATGGAAAAAAAACCATTTTCACCCAAATCACCTCAGAGGTGGGGTGGTTTTGGCTAAACCTCTCTAAAAAGGTCAAATGTCACTTGTTTTGCATCAATCTTGATACAGGGTACTTATTATATGTTGTACTTTGGATTCCTAAAGCTTTTAGTCTACTAACCCATCATCCAAGGGTAGTTTTCACTATCTGTAAACAATTATTTTTGGACGGACACTATAATTTACAGTTTTTTACTATGTAAAATCTGAATTGTCTTTAAAATAAAAAACATTTATATTGATTCTGACACTTCTACATCCAACTCACAGATGTAACCTTGCTTTGATAAAAGAAATTATTCATATAACCCTTTTAGAAGTTAAGTTGTAGTCATTTGTTTTGGGCATGTCATTTTCGAGCCTGAAACATGAAAAACAGGCTTGGTGCTTAACAGGTTAAAGTATTGCAATGAAGAGCCGAGTGAACTGTAACTCTACCTCTGGCCACCAGGTGGCGCCAACAACTACATTCAGAGAGACATTCAAACACACAGATAAATGTCCACACAAACACAAAGGGACCAAAAAGAGACACAAGGAACTGTAAAGGAACAGAAAGAGAGGCAATACGATTATAAAAAGACTACAAATACAAGTACAATGTTCTTTAAAATCCTTCCAGCTGAGTGTCGATTGGAAAAACACACATTTATTCTAAAGTGCAATCTTACTGTGTGTTTTAATTTAAATTAATTCTACAATGCATTTCTTTAGAGGCAGAAGAGATTTGTATCAGACATTACGACTTTATTTGAAATACTACAACAGTATTTTTATCCATTTGAGATACTCGACTTCCCTTGGATTCCTTCCATAAATCAGCACATATTTAATAAGATAACGTCCTCATTTTCATACTAAAACATAACCTGTCATAAAACTTGTAATATAAAAACTAATTGTGTTGATGTCAGTAATGAAGTGGGGGGGGGGGCGAGTTTCATGGGGATATCTGTTAGTTTATTATTTCCCCCTATAGAGGGTTGCTAACGTGACCCCGTCTCTTCAGTGCCGCCGGCTGTTCGCCTCGCTGCAGGAGCTCGTCGACCACATCAACGACTTCCACGTGAAACCTGAAAAGGATTGTGGGTACTGCTGCCAGTGGGAGGGCTGCCAGCGTAATGGGAGGGGCTTCAACGCCAGGTAAACACACACAGCACACACACACCTCACACACACCTTGCAAACATCCACTCCGTCTTCACACAGCGCTCATATTTACATGTTGTCAGTAAACCACACACACTATTATTTTAGCGATGTTTCCAGAGAGAACAGCTGTGAGGTCCGTGCAGAAAGCAGAGCAGTGTGTATCATATGTATCACTCAGTATAACAGGCCTACTCTCTTTATTTGCTTTAGTTTAGTAGATATCTACAAACAAAGAGTCCAGATGTTTCTAAAACCATTTAGTGCTTCACAAAATAAAATACACAACGGCTGTATCCTGATGATATGCTTTAGGAGCTGTAGGTGCGTGTGTGTGTGTGTGTGTGTGTGTGTGTGTGTGTGTGTGTGTGTGGTGTGTGTGTGTGTGTGTGTGTGTGTGTGTGTGTGTGTGTGTGTGTGTGTGTGTGTGTGTGTGTGTGTGTGTGTGAGTGCGTGCGTGCGTGCGTGCGTGCGTGCGTGCGTGCGTGCGTGCGTGCGTGCGTGCGTGCGTGCGTGCGTGCGTGCGTGCGTGCGTGCGTGCGTGCGTGCGTGCGTGCGTGCGTGCGTGCGTGCGTGCGTGTGTGTGTGTGTGTATGTCCGCATATGTAGCCTGTTCTTGTCTCATTATACCGCACTGTGAATGAATTAAAAGTAAATCTATAAGTCATCATGAACACATCTGTCCATCAGACAGAGGGCTGCTGTGCCTCCTGTCATCATTAATGGACTCCTCTCTCCTCGGTTCCCCTCCTCGACTCCTCTCCTCGGTTCCCCTCCTCGACTCCTCTCTCCTCGGTTCCGCTCCCCGACTCCTCTCTCCTCGGTTCCGCTCCTCGACTCCTCTCTCCTCGGTTCCGCTCCTCGACTCCTCTCTCCTCGGTTCCCCTCCTCGACTCCTCTCTCCTCGGTTCCCCTCCTCGACTCCTCTCTCCTCGGTTCCCCTCCTCGACTCCTCTCTCCTCGGTTCCGCTCCTCGACTCCTCTCTCCTCGGTTCCGCTCCTCGACTCCTCTCTCCTCGGTTCCCCTCCTCGACTCCTCCGCTCGCATCTCCTGTGGGCGGACTAAGACACGAGGATAGGAGTCGAGGAGGGGAATTAGTGAATTGAGAAAGGGCCCTGGTCTCGCAGCTGTGTGCGTCACTCTTTAGTGTCCCCTGGTCTCTCAGCTGTGTGCGTCACTCTTTAGTGTCCCCTGGTCTCCCAGCTGTGTGCGTCACTCTTTAGTGTCCCCTGGTCTCCCAGCTGTGTGCGTCACTCTTTAGTGTCCCCTGGTCTCCCAGCTGTGTGCGTCACTCTTTAGTGTCCCCTGGTCTCCAGCTGTGTGCGTCACTCTTTAGTGTCCCCTGGTCTCCCAGCTGTGTGCGTCACTCTTTAGTGTCCCCTGGTCTCCCAGCTGTGTGCGTCACTCTTTAGTGTCCCCTGGTCTCCCAGCTGTGTGCGTCACTCTTTAGTGTCCCCTGGTCTCCCAGCTGTGTGCGTCACTCTTTAGTGTCCCCTGGTCTCCCAGCTGTGTGCGTCACTCTTTAGTGTCCCCTGGTCTCCCAGCTGTGTACGTCACTCTTTAGTGTCCCCTGGTCTCTCAGCTGTGTGCGTCACTCTTTAGTGTCCCCTGGTCTCTCAGCTGTGTGCGTCACTCTTTAGTGTCCCCTGGTCTCCCAGCTGTGTGCGTCACTCTTTAGTGTCCCCTGGTCTCCAGCTGTGTGTGTTACTCTTTAGTGTCCCCTGGTCTCTCAGCTGTGTGCGTCACTCTTTAGTGTCCCCTGGTCTCCCAGCTGTGTGCGTCACTCTTTAGTGTCCCCCGGTCTCCCAGCTGTGTGCGTCACTCTTTAGTGTCCCCTGGTCTCCCAGCTGTGTGCGTCACTCTTTAGTGTCCCCTGGTCTCCCAGCTGTGTGCGTCACTCTTTAGTGTCCCCTGGTCTCTCAGCTGTGTGCGTCACTCTTTAGTGTCCCCTGGTCTCCAGCTGTGTGCGTCACTCTTTAGTGTCCCCTGGTCTCCCAGCTGTGTACGTCACTCTTTAGTGTCCCCTGGTCTCTCAGCTGTGTGCGTCACTCTTTAGTGTCCCCTGGTCTCTCAGCTGTGTGCGTCACTCTTTAGTGTCCCCTGGTCTCCCAGCTGTGTGCGTCACTCTTTAGTGTCCCCTGGTCTCCAGCTGTGTGTGTTACTCTTTAGTGTCCCCTGGTCTCTCAGCTGTGTGCGTCACTCTTTAGTGTCCCCTGGTCTCCCAGCTGTGTGCGTCACTCTTTAGTGTCCCCCGGTCTCCCAGCTGTGTGCGTCACTCTTTAGTGTCCCCTGGTCTCCTAGCTGCAGCGTGTTTGTTGTCCACCGTGTGCAACATGTCTCATTAAATAAGACAGCAAAGACACAGGTGAAGCTGAACGTCTGTCCCTCTTGGTGCATCTTCTCTCAGCTGGTCTTTCTTTAGCTTGTTTAGCGTCACATGCTTCATGCAAATGTTCTCATGGTTTGACTTTTACAACCGGACTCGGACAGACACCTGTTTGCGCTCCTGTCTCTTTGTTTGCATAGCTTATGTAAATAAAATCCTACAATAATAATCTATGAGCTGTGAACAGCAGCCGGATCTCATACAGACCATTTGCCAAGAAAAGAAGTTTTGGTGTGAGTGAGAGTTAATGGATGTTTTATGATTCACAGGTATAAAATGCTGATTCATATCCGCACACACACCAATGAGAAGCCGCACCACTGTCCCACCTGCAACAAGAGCTTTTCACGCCTGGAGAACCTGAAGATACACACCCGCTCACACACAGGTGAGAGACGCACGCACGCACGCACGCACGCACGCACGCACGCACGCACGCACGCACGCACGCACGCACACACACACACACACACACAGACACACACAGATGTATTTTAACCTCTGTCCTTCTCTCCCTTGATCCTCCCTAGCAACGGTCATTATTGTGCAGTGGTGCGTTATCGAGTATTAACAACCTCTTAAATGTCCAAATCGACCAATCAGAATCGAGTAAGCCGTGTAATATATCTTAATCTTTTGAAAACAATTTTTTTCTTTTGCAAGTAAAGGTTGATAAAGCTGGTGACTACACTATGCAAAGTAAAAGCACTTAAGCCCTAAGAGGAACACATAATAAAGTGAAGCCTGCCATGCACAACATTATCTGCTAAAATAAATACTGTTTCCTTCAATCGTGTCCTCATTTAATATTGCTGGAGAAATATGCTTTTGTTGTCGCTGACGCAGACTTCAGATAAGGGCCTGGAGTTACAGTAAGTACAGTTCAGTGTGTGTTCCGGTTAATGGTCCCCCTGCTGGGAGTGGTTCAGTCCCCCCTCTTTATCAGCACAGAATGGTTTAAAGTCCATTGCAGAGCGACTGGAGGGAGACGATGGGGTCGGACTCATCTGATCAATAATCTGTGCAATAAACCACGGCATCATCCGGAAATGTCCGAGTGACGCAAAGGCCAAACAGTAAATACAGAACTCAGATCCAAAAATAGTGCTTTTCGCGTATTTGTAAATTAATTATAGTATTTACAGATTTTCTTTTCTTTCTGTTTGCGTATTTGCAGATCTTTTTTTGTAGATTTTGTGGAAGGTGTTTTCACATTTAAAAAAAAAAAAACGATTGTTTCTTTAATCTTGTTTTTGTATGAATGTTTATTCCTGCCTAATCTTAAGCATTTAGCAGTTCATCCTGAAACTAGGCCACGGCTGAGGAGATATGAAGCAGTTATCATGGCCGTCCTTAGCCGCTTTCACACCAAGTACTTTGCGGTACTTAGTTCCCAGTACTAAGTTCCCCCGAACTCTTTAGTCCCTGGAACTGTCTAGTAGATCGCGTTCACACGAGGGAGGATTACGCAAATGAAGCCGCTGACGTCACTTCTTCTTCTTCTGCTTTGGGTTTACTGGCAGGCCGCAAACAACTTCACGGCGTATACTGCCACCCGAAGTCCCGGAGTCCCCCGGAGTTGGGGACTAGCTTCAGTAGAAGCTGCTGGTTAGCGTCTTCCGAGTAAATCGCCAGAACGCCGACACCTCCTCCTCACTCCACCGCTCCCATGTTTTATTTTGTGTTGCCATAAGTTAGTCTCTCTCCGTTGGTTCGCTGGGCTAATGCTAATGCTAATAATGCTAATGCGAGCAAATAAAATGGCGGCTTCACAAAACTTTTCGGAGTTTTACGGGGCGTGGTTTGCAATTCGCCCAGCCAATCAGAAATTGTTAGTGTGGCCGACACACCCACGAACCATTTCCTCCCCAGGAAAGTACCACGTCTCTAGCAGGGACGATCTGGGGGTGAAAAGGTTCGCGCAAAATAAGTTCTAGTTCCAGATCTTTTTGGTGTGAAAGCAAAATCCCAAGAACTATCGGAACTATTCCTGGGTAAAGTACTCCGGTGTGAAAGCGCCTCTTGATGTCTTGTTTCTGTCTGACAGAAGCAAAGACTTTTCCCCCGACTTCGTTATCATCTTTATGTTGAGAAAACAAGCTCGAACCCCGAGGCACGTCTACTTCCTGCTGGACTTGAGTTGAGTTCCTCACGTTTAAACTGCAGAGAAATGAAACATGAGGAACAACACGTACGCTAACCTGTCTTTACAGATCCCGTTGGCTCTCATTCAGCCCTCATGACGTTTGGATATGTAAATACTCTGCAGGATGAAGGACAGTCCTCTGTTGTCGGCTTTCTGTATCTCAAAACAAGAGGAGGTTAGACAGATCCGTGACACACTGAAAGCAGGAAGCATCAACAAGGGGAGCTTTCAGAAGTGTTACCCAACTCATCGATATGGTGTCCTTTTGATTAATTTAATACTCAAATAACTTTACTAACATGTTCTGTTTGTGTCTGTGGAGTTCACCGGCAGTTAGCATGACATAAAGCGACATTAGCAGGGGGTTTCATGGTGACAGATGTACCCCTTTCAGCTGTAGCGTGGAAACCAAATTCACACGTCAGGAACCATATCTGAGCCATATGATCAAAATGACCTGCCAGTGGTGAGCTGGGGTTCCTCACATCATGGTGGTGGAGGCAGGACTGGGGACATCATGGTGTTCAGGGACCACTAACTCCTTCTGTTAACAGAGAACACTAGTATTATCGCTCTAGTGTTCCTAATGCTTTCTAATAAACCCCACATTTTAACATGTTGAGATTAAAATGACACAAAACAGCTCCAACTCTGACTTCCCCAGAGTCAGAAACAAATAACTCCAAACCAAAATCACAGACATGGACCCAGTGTTCACATTTCTGTGGTAAAAATACTCTGTGGTTTTTTAATCAGAATCAGAAGGGGTTTTATCACCAAGTAGGTTTACACACAGAGGAATACGCTCTGGTACGTGCACAGAGACACAGCGATGACCCCTGAGGGAGGAACATGGACATGTTGGTGCAGCTATCTGCAGCTCCAAAGGGTGTGTGAGTGTTTTCATAGCAGCATGTCTCACACACCTTCACACAGACGGAGTGTAAACACAATGCATGCAATCCTCCCTGCTTTGAACAGGATCCTTCAGTTTGAACACTCTTCAGTGGCAACGTGTTCAATTAGGAAATGACTGAAGGTCTTTGTGAAACGCGATAATGATCACAGGTCTCAGACGTTCCTCACTCTGTCGCTGACAGGTAACAAAGAGTCGGATTTGACCTGTTATTACGGTTCAAGAGGCTTCGTCACGTCTCCGTCACAAAACGTGGCCAGACATTTTAACCTTACAATGATATTTGCATCCTAGGCTATGGGATACAGTCCTTTAACAGACATGTGTCAAATGGGTGTAATACGGGTCTAATAACAGTGTATTGTTGGTGTTACCTGGGTGTAATACGGGTCTAGTAACAGTGTATTATTGGTGTTACCTGGGTGTAATACGGGTCTGGTAACAGTGTATTATTGGTGTTACCTGGGTGTAATACGGGTCTGGTAACAGTGTATTATTGGTGTTACCTGGGTGTAATACGGGTCTAATAACAGTGTATTATTGGTAAAAAATAAAGAGCTTTTTGAACATTAAAGCATGAGCATGAGTATAGACACTAAATACTGACCTCAGCCTGAACAGGATATGTCCTCTTTAAGTTGTAAAAGCCAGTGTTCCTGACTCTGTGTGTCCCTCTGTCCCCCCCCAGGAGAGAAACCCTACATGTGTCCGTATGAAGGCTGCAGCAAGCGCTACTCTAACTCCAGCGACCGCTTCAAACACACCCGGACTCACTACGTGGACAAACCGTACGGCTGCAAGATGTCCGGCTGCCTGAAGCGCTACACCGACCCCAGCTCGCTGCGCAAGCACATCAAGGCCCACGGGCACTTTGTGGTCCCGGGGCAAGGGGCCACAAAGTGCCGGCCGGGGGTGGGACTCCTGGGGCTACAGCAGGGTGAAGCGCCCCCTCTCAGCGCGGCCCATTTCCTCCTCCCCGGGGCCTTTTTGGGGGGCTTCGGGGCGCCTCTTTCCGCTTACTGCCGCCTCGGCTGCATGGGGCCCCTCGGCCTCTCCGACTCCCCCCTGATACACTTCGGACTCTCGGCGGTGTCCATGCTGGGGCTGGGGGCTCTGAGGAGGGGGGTGTCGAACAGAGAGGAGGAAGAGGAGGAGGAAGAGCAAGAAGAGGAAGTGGAGGCGTTAAATCTGTCTGCAGGGGGGGGGCCCGGACAGAGGGACCCTCTGTCCTGGGTGCTGGTTCCCCCGAGGGCCCTGCTCCTCCAACCAGCTGTTGTTAGATAGGATGTGCAAGGTGCTCTTTGTGTGTGTGTGTGTGTGTGTGTGTGTGTGTGTGTGTGTGTGTGTGTGTGTGTGTGTGTGTGTGTGTGTGTGTGTGTGTGTGTGTGTGTGTGTGTGTGTGTGTGTGTGTGTGTGTGTGTGTGTGTGTGTGTGTGTGTGTGTGTGTGTGTGTTTTGAATGAACAACGCCTGAACACGACCTGAGTGTTGGGTTGCAAAAGTCTGACGCTTTAAAGGGTCAGTTCACTTAAATGAGAAAAAAGAAGAGAAGTTGTGTTGGTCCCTGAAGGCAGCATCTCCCTGGTTGTGTTGGTCCCTGAAGGCAGCATCTCCCTGGTTCTGTTGGTCCCTGAAGGCAGCATCTCCCTGGTTCTGTTAGTCCCTGAAGGCAGCATCTCCCTGGTTCTGTTGGTCCCTGAAGGCAGCATCTCCCTGGTTGTGTTGGTCCCTGAAGGCAGCATCTCCCTGGTTCTGTTGGTCCCTGAAGGCAGCATCTCCCTGGTTCTGTTAGTCCCTGAAGGCAGCATCTCCCTGGTTCTGTTGGTCCCTGAAGGCAGCATCTCCCTGGTTCTGTTTTGGTCCCTGAAGGCAGCATCTCCCTGGTTCTATTGGTCCCTGAAGGCAGCATCTCCCTGGTTCTATTGGTCCCTGAAGGCAGCATCTCCCTGGTCCAATGGGATTTCTCCATGTGATTTTGGATTATGTCAGAAAATAATCTCTGTGTCAAAGAAACGTTTAGTTCAGCAGGATACTCTCCACATATTAACACCGCTTCATGATTTCTGAAATAAAAAGTTAACGTTTGGCTATAAACATCACCACCGCTAAGCTAAAGGAGGCTAAGTTGGGCGTGATGACGTTTAGTCATCTCAGTTAGACTCTTGTTAGCAACCGCCGTTTTTGAATCCTCCAGTGGGGTGTTTCCTGACGTATTTCATGTGGTAGAACAAAACGTTAAAATCTCTTCAGCTCGTGTTAGCCACAGACCTGATTCAGGATCACAACCAAACACACATTCAGAGACCCATTGACCTCCAGACCCATTGACCTCCAGACCCATTGACCTCCAGACCCATTGACCTCCAGACCCATTGACCTCCAGACCCATTGACCTCCAGACCCGGGGACAGGAAGTGAGGAGATGCTGAGTCACTTCAGGGTTTAGAGGCGGATATCTAAAGAGAGGAAGGGGATATCTATCTAAACCTCCTCTGTCTGCATGGCTTGGTAACGCTTCAGTGAAATGGTTTTCCTGACCCGCTCTACGGCAGGTCAGGAAAACCATTTTCTACTTTTAACGCTTGACAATCCTCTCTGACTGATGACGAGGAGCAACGAGAAATAGGGTTAGGGTTTAAAACATAGACTTCTTTAAAACCTGCCAACAGCACATCAGTCTGGATGTTTCCTTCTGGCAAAGCTTGTGCAGTTAAAGGCTCACATTATCTGAATGTCTGAACTCCCACACAACGCAGCCACACAACGCAGCCACACAACGCAGCCACACAACGCAGCCACACATTTCTGTGGTTCTTTGAATACACAGTTTACAGGGTGTTTATCTGCTGCTCTGGTTTGAATCTGACAGTACTGCAGTACATTTACTCACGTACTGTACTTTTGAGGTACTTTACTGGAGTATTTCACTTAATGCTGCTTCACTATGTTCTAGAAGTACTCAGAACCTTTACTTCAGTACAATTACTAATACCCCAGACTGAAAATACAGCAAGTAAAAGCCCTGATGTCAAGTAGAAGCACACAAGTATCAGCAGCAAAATGTATTTAAAGTTTCAAAAGTACTCAATATGCAAAAAGTGTTGTATTTTTCACAGAGTAGTTTAATGTTCAGGTATTATCACAAATACATAAAACTGTTTTTTAAATGACGTGTTAAAGTTAACGTACTTGGTATCATTTTCAGTATATCTGAAAACATCAGGTTATTTCTGTAATAGTGTAAAAATAATAATATTTCTCTCTGAGATTCAGTAGAAGTTAAAAGTCAGAAAATAAAATACTAAGATAAACTAAAAAAGTACCTACATTTACTTACAGTTACATTCAACTGGCCAATACGCATAAGGAGTACTTTAAGTACATTAGGTACATTTTGATGCCAATACTGTTGTATTTTTCCTAAAGAGTGCTGGACTTTTACTTTTAGCAGAGTATTTTTTACACTTTAGTGGCTACTTTCACTCATACCTGAGCACTCTGCATTATGTCATTTAAAAAGGATGGTGTTGGGTTAAAGAGGCCCTGAACATCAGCAGGAGAGGACTCTTTAAAGTAGAGACACTACATACTGATATACACCTGAACATCAGCAGGAGAGGACTCTTTAAAGTAGAGACACTACACACTGATATACACCTGAACATCAGCAGGAGAGGACTCTTTAAAGTAGAGACACTACATACTGATATACACCTGAACATCAGCAGAAGAGGACTCTTTAAAGTAGAGACACTACATACTGATATACACCTGAACATCAGCAGGAGAGGACTCTTTAAAGTAGAGACACTACATACTGATATGAACCTGAACATCAGCAGGAGAGGACTCTTTAAAGTAGAGACACTACGTACTGATATGCACCTGAACATCAGCAGGAGAGGACTCTTTAAAGTAGAGACACTACATACTGATATACACCTGAACATCAGCAGGAGAGGACTCTTTAAAGTAGAGACACTACATACTGATATACACCTGAACATCGGCAGGAGAGGACTCTTTAAAGTAGAGACACTACATACTGATATACACCTGAACATCAGCAGGAGAGGACTCTTTAAAGTAGAGACACTACATACTGATATACACCTGAACATCAGCAGGAGAGGACTCTTTAAAGTAGAGACACTACATACTGATATACACCTGAACATCAGCAGGAGAGGACTCTTTAAAGTAGAGACACTACATACTGATATACACCTGAACATCAGCAGGAGAGGACTCTTTAAAGTAGAGACACTACATACTGATATACACCTGAACATCGGCAGGAGAGGACTCTTTAAAGTAGAGACACTACACACTGATATACACCTGAACATCAGCAGGAGAGGACTCTTTAAAGTAGAGACACTACATACTGATATACACCTGAACATCAGCAGGAGAGGACTCTTTAAAGTAGAGACACTACACACTGATATACACCTGAACATCAGCAGGAGAGGACTCTTTAAAGTAGAGACACTACATACTGATATACACCTGAACATCAGCAGGAGAGGACTCTTTAAAGTAGAGACACTACATACTGATATACACCTGAACATCAGCAGGAGAGGACTCTTTAAAGTAGAGACACTACATACTGATATACACCTGAACATCAGCAGGAGAGGACTCTTTAAAGTAGAGACACTAGATACTGATATACACCTGAACATCAGCAGGAGAGGACTCTTTAAAGTAGAGACACTACACACTGATATACACCTGAACATCAGCAGGAGAGGACTCTTTAAAGTAGAGACACTACACACTGATATACACCTGAACATCAGCAGGAGAGGACTCTTTAAAGTAGAGACACTACATACTGATATACACCTGAACATCAGCAGGAGAGGACTCTTTAAAGTAGAGACACTACATACTGATATACACCTGAACATCAGCAGGAGAGGACTCTTTAAAGTAGAGACACTACATACTGATATACACCTGAACATCAGCAGGAGAGGACTCTTTAAAGTAGAGACACTACATACTGATATACACCTGAACATCAGCAGGAGAGGACTCTTTAAAGTAGAGACACTACATACTGATATACACCTGAACATCAGCAGGAGAGGACTCTTTAAAGTAGAGACACTACATACTGATATACACCTGAACATCGGCAGGAGAGGACTCTTTAAAGTAGAGACACTACACACTGATATACACCTGAACATCAGCAGGAGAGGACTCTTTAAAGTAGAGACACTACATACTGATATACACCTGAACATCAGCAGGAGAGGACTCTTTAAAGTAGAGACACTACACACTGATATACACCTGAACATCAGCAGGAGAGGACTCTTTAAAGTAGAGACACTACATACTGATATACACCTGAACATCAGCAGGAGAGGACTCTTTAAAGTAGAGACACTACATACTGATATACACCTGAACATCAGCAGGAGAGGACTCTTTAAAGTAGAGACACTACATACTGATATACACCTGAACATCAGCAGGAGAGGACTCTTTAAAGTAGAGACACTACATACTGATATACACCTGAACATCAGCAGGAGAGGACTCTTTAAAGTAGAGACACTACACACTGATATACACCTGAACATCAGCAGGAGAGGACTCTTTAAAGTAGAGACACTACACACTGATATACACCTGAACATCAGCAGGAGAGGACTCTTTAAAGTAGAGACACTACATACTGATATACACCTGAACATCAGCAGGAGAGGACTCTTTAAAGTAGAGACACTACATACTGATATACACCTGAACATCAGCAGGAGAGGACTCTTTAAAGTAGAGACACTACATACTGATATACACCTGAACATCAGCAGGAGAGGACTCTTTAAAGTAGAGACACTACATACTGATATACACCTGAACATCAGCAGGAGAGGACTCTTTAAAGTAGAGACACTACACTACTGATATACACCTGAACATCAGCAGGAGAGGACTCTTTAAAGTAGAGACACTACACTACTGATATACACCTGAACATCAGCAGGAGAGGACTCTTTAAAGTAGAGACACTACACACTGATATACACCTGAACATCAGCAGGAGAGGACTCTTTAAAGTAGAGACACTACATACTGATATACACCTGAACATCAGCAGGAGAGGACTCTTTAAAGTAGAGACACTACATACTGATATACACCTGAACATCGCAGGAGGACTTAGAGAGACACTACATATCTTTAAAGTAGAGACACTACATACTGATATACACCTGAACATCAGCAGGAGAGGACTCTTTAAAGTAGAGACACTACACACTGATATACACCTGAACATCAGCAGGAGAGGACTCTTTAAAGTAGAGACACTACATACTGATATACACCTGAACATCAGCAGGAGAGGACTCTTTAAAGTAGAGACACTACATACTGATATACACCTGAACATCAGCAGGAGAGGACTCTTTAAAGTAGAGACACTACATACTGATATACACCTGAACATCAGCAGGAGAGGACTCTTTAAAGTAGAGACACTACATACTGATATACACCTGAACATCAGCAGGAGAGGACTCTTTAAAGTAGAGACACTACACACTGATATACACCTGAACATCAGCAGGAGAGGACTCTTTAAAGTAGAGACACTACACACTGATATACACCTGAACATCAGCAGGAGAGGACTCTTTAAAGTAGAGACACTACATACTGATATACACCTGAACATCAGCAGGAGAGGACTCTTTAAAGTAGAGACACTACTACTGATATACACCTGAACATCAGCAGGAGAGGACTCTTTAAAGTAGAGACACTACACACTGATATACACCTGAACATCAGCAGGAGAGGACTCTTTAAAGTAGAGACACTACATACTGATATACACCTGAACATCAGCAGGAGAGGACTCTTTCAGCTTTAATATTACAGGTGTGTTGCTGTCCACCTCTTCCCATATAAAGATCTTTAGTGGAAACGCCAACACTTCAAAATCCATCTGTAAATGTTCCTGTTGGTTGAGCTGATAAAGATAAAGCTAAGAGCAAAATGGAAACAGATGTATTGAATCGAGTGGTGAGGGAAGTAACCTGCCACACCTGACCTCTACCTGCTTCAGTTCCTCACCACACAGTGAATAAGGACCCTTTGTGACGCAGTAATCCCGGAGCTACTCATAAAGAGTCCTGGGTGTGGAGAACTTCAACAATATATGGCGGAGAATAGAAACTCGCCCGTCTGACCACGTGATTTGTCAAAGTCACAAGAGAGAATATGTGTTGACTTAACTGAATGTTTTGTGTGTGACTCCGTCTTCACTCTATTATTCATTTCAAGACAACGATCTGCTCAGGATCCGCCTGGCACCTGGACGCAGGGCGACAAAGGTGTGTGTCAGTAATGAGAACACACGCGCTGCACAAAGAGAAGCCCTCCAGTGTGTCTGTTTGACGATGGCCGCATGGGGCCAGTATCCGAGATGAATTATTAACTGTTATTGCTCATCAGTATCTCTAAAGGTGTCCAAGTGCCTTGTGTTATGACTCAATATAAGAGAAATATATACACTAATGTATAAATGTGCTTTTCATGACCTTTTAGACATGTGAAACTGAGTAACTTGACCACAGACGTGACGTGTACGTCAGGGCGCTGCAACACTTTCAGGACAATGACTTAAAGTCAATAAACAAAAATAAAAAAAAATCATTGTTTGTGTCTCTGTTGTTTTTTAGTAAACATCCCGTTCTGTGTGTGTTTTTGTGAGAAATCTTAGAAACTATTATTTCATTTCATTTTGATTTACTGTGAGAATGTGGAAAACATCCCAGATGTGAACAGAAGTATTATTATTTTTTGGATCTCTTTTAATTTCAGCATGTGTAGAAATGTCACTGAGACGTTTGAATAGTAGAAGATAGATAGGATTCACAAAAGGTAAGATTTGTATTATGATTAAATATAAAGTTATGTTTTCCGTTTCCCTTTTATTCCAGCATTCATTGATTTGGTTAGACAGTATCAATGAGCTCACAAATGATTGTTTATCAAATGAGAATAAATAATTAATTCACGAGGCAGCTTTAAAATGAAAGTTCGGGGAACTCACATTTTAAAAGTGGCAGTGCAGAGAGCTAATACACATATTGTCTAAACTATTCCTTTAACAAAGTCACAGTTTCATTGCTCAAGAGATTTAAATATATGTGGTCCATTAGATGCCTGAGAGCAGATAGGAGAAATGCTCGTCACCGGGTATCTCTCTAAAACCGGTTTGAAGGAATCTGGTATAATCTGTATCAGGAAAAACAGCGTAAATATTAAATTACAAAGTGGGTGTTTCTGTGTCATCAGGAGCAGTCAGAGTACAGCCACAGTTTATGGGCGCTGTATGCAATATAGGCGTAGTTCTGTAAAGTCCTCTCCTGCTGATGTTCAGGTGTACATCAGTATGTAGTGTCTCTACTTTAAAGAGTCCTCTCCTGCTGATGTTCAGGTGTACATCAGTATGTAGTGTCTCTACTTTAAAGAGTCCTCTCCTGCTGATGTTCAGGTGTACATCAGTATGTAGTGTCTCTACTTTAAAGAGTCCTCTCCTGCTGATGTTCAGGTGTATATCAGTATGTAGTGTCTCTACTTTAAAGAGTCCTCTCCTGCTGATGTTCAGGTGTACATCAGTATGTAGTGTCTCTACTTTAAAGAGTCCTCTCCTGCTGATGTTCAGGTGTACATCAGTATGTAGTGTCTCTACTTTAAAGAGTCCTCTCCTGCTGATGTTCAGGTGTATAACAGTATGTAGTGTCTCTACTTTAAAGAGTCCTCTCCTGCTGATGTTCAGGTGTATATCAGTATGTAGTGTCTCTACTTTAAAAAGTCCTCTCCTGCTGATGTTCAGGTGTATATCAGTATGTAGTGTCTCTACTTTAAAGAGTCCTCTCCTGCTGATGTTCAGGTGTACATCAGTATGTAGTGTCTCTACTTTAAAGAGTCCTCTCCTGCTGATGTTCAGGTGCATATCAGTATGTAGTGTCTCTACTTTAAAGAGTCCTCTCCTGTTGATGTTCAGGTGTATATCAGTATGTAGTGTCTCTACTTTAAAGAGTCCTCTCCTGCTGATGTTCAGGTGTATATCAGTATGTAGTGTCTCTACTTTAAAGAGTCCTCTCCTGCTGATGTTCAGGTGTATATCAGTATCTAGTGTCTCTACTTTAAAGAGTCCTCTCCTGCTGATGTTCAGGTATATATCAGTATGTCGTGTCTCTACTTTAAAGAGTCCTCTCCTGCTGATGTTCAGGTGTATATCAGTATGTAGTGTCTCTACTTTAAAGAGTCCTCTCCTGCTGATGTTCAGGTGTATATCAGTATGTAGTGTCTCTACTTTAAAGAGTCCTCTCCTGCTGATGTTCAGGTGTATATCAGTATGTAGTGTCTCTACTTTAAAGAGTCCTCTCCTGCTGATGTTCAGGTGTATATCAGTATGTAGTGTCTCTACTTTAAAGAGTCCTCTCCTGCTGATGTTCAGGTTCATATCAGTATGTAGTGTCTCTACTTTAAAGAGTCCTCTCCTGCTGATGTTCAGGTGTATATCAGTATGTAGTGTCTCTACTTTAAAGAGTCCTCTCCTGCTGATGTTCAGGTTCATATCAGTATGTAGTGTCTCTACTTTAAAGAGTCCTCTCCTGCTGATGTTCAGGTGTATATTAGTATGTAGTGTCTCTACTTTAAAGAGTCCTCTCCTGCTGATGTTCAGGTTCATATCAGTATGTAGTGTCTCTACTTTAAAGAGTCCTCTCCTGCTGATGTTCAGGTGTATATTAGTATGTAGTGTCTCTACTTTAAAGAGTCCTCTCCTGCTGATGTTCAGGTGTATATCAGTATGTAGTGTCTCTACTTTAAAGAGTCCTCTCCTGCTGATGTTCAGGTGTATATTAGTATGTAGTGTCTCTACTTTAAAGAGTCCTCTCCTGCTGATGTTCAGGTGTATATCAGTATGTAGTGTCTCTACTTTAAAGAGTCCTCTCCTGCTGATGTTCAGGTGTATATCAGTATGTAGTGTCTCTACTTTAAAGAGTCCTCTCCTGCTGATGTTCAGGTGTATATCAGTATGTAGTGTCTCTACTTTAAAGAGTCCTCTCCTGCTGATGTTCAGGTGTATATCAGTATGTAGTGTCTCTACTTTAAAGAGTCCTCTCCTGCTGATGATCAGGTGTATATCAGTATGTAGTGTCTCTACTTTAAAGAGTCCTCTCCTGCTGATGTTCAGGTGTATATCAGTATGTAGTGTCTCCATGCTTTAATGTTCAAAAAGCTCTTTATTTTTCTCATACTGTGCTGCAGCACCTCTTTTCACCCTATGTCTGAAACCAGAGCCCAGTCAGCTCTGATTGGTTAGCTGGATGGCTCTGTTGTGATTGGTCAACCACTTAGAGATGTCCCGCCCCTTAGCCTATCAAGTCTGAGTGCTAGCTCATAGATGCACGAGTACTAAATAAACAAACGTAAAAACAGAACGCTTCTCATGACCATTTCTTTAATGCAGTTCAGAAACCTGTTTTCACATTGGTGATCTCAACTTCTCTTTTTTATTATTATCAATGCAGGGTGGGGTCTGGTGCCCTGCTCAAAGGCACTAAAAAACCCCGGCAGTGCCCAGGAGGTGAACTGGTAACTGATACTTTGTCCAGTCTAGGAACTGGCGCCCCTTTCATTTCCAATCCCTACAGATTGATATGTTGGCCCCCCAAAAGAAACAAATAAATAAGTTAACCTTCAAGTGTCCTGCCCCCCAGGGGATTTCTCAGTGTCATTGTCCTAACAAGGGGGTTCAGGCCTCTTCAAGTCTTTCCAGTAATCCACCAGCTGTTTTGGAGACCCCAGGATGTAAGTGATGATCTTGGAGTATTCGCAGCGATTAAACTTTGTGTTATAGGCCTTGAACTTGGACGGATTCGGGGGAGATTGGGGAGAAAGTCCCAGCTTTTTCATGCAAGCTCCAACATAAGCATCCTCTATGTTAAAGTAATTAATCGATTTTGAAGCCTCCACAATCTTCTCGGGAAGATCGTTGGAGAACACGTATCCCATGCCCAGAGTGTAGGTGGGGTATAAAGGCTCCGGGTACATCTCCACAGGGACGTACCACTTGGAGTTCTTTGAGCGGATGACCGGCCTGTTCCGCATGAGCATCCCGGTCAGGTAGTTCAGCTTGGGGATGTCCGGCTTCTGTAGCATCATCACTAAATTGTCAATGTTCAGGAACATGTCCGAGTCCACCTTCATGGCGTACGCGGCTTCGGGGCAGCGAGTGGCCAACCAGTCCATGATCACCATGGTTTTGATGGTCAGATTGAGGTAAGTGTCCAGGAAGTCGCTCTGGATCAAGTCGTGGTGCAGTCGGTTCTCCTGTTGGAGCTTCTCCTGCAGCGCATCCACATCGGCTCCTCTATAGAGGCCCAGCATGAACAGGGTGAGCACCACATCCCCCTGAACCTCGCTGCTGTTGCCCCACGTCTGCCGGATGGCGTTCCGAGCCGCCACGTTCTTAGGTGCCACTGGAACCATCAAGACCAGGAAGGGGGTCTTGGTCTTGCACACTTCTTTGTTATCCATTACAAAGTGGTAGTTACGTGGGTAGGCTAGATGGAACTGGAGAGCCTTGGGAGGTACGGTAGGAGGTAGAGTAGTTTGTTCTGTGGTTTCATTTAGTTGAACTCTGTCTTTCAATCGGTCACGGTAAAGAGGAGGCCGATGAACCGGATTTATAAACCTCTGGTAGTGGTCTTTGAGTGGAAAGCTGGACCACCATGACAGGGAGTTGCTGGAACAAAAGACAATCAGCACCAGACAGAACAGGAGCAGGAAGCAGGGCTTCTTCAGTTGTCTAAAAAGAGAGGAAATGAAAGTTAAAACATGTGGGAACTTATTTAGGGAACTGGGCTACATCTGGTTTTATCTGCATTTGGAAAATTGGTACCAAAAAGTTACCATTTTAGAGATTTTCCATTTTCTAAAGAATTCAGATTTATTTTCTAAAATATTCAGATTTCTTTTAATTGTATTTAGATTACAAAAATTCAGATTTTCTCTTTTTTTATTGAAAATCTCTAAAACGGTACCTTGTTGTAATTGTAATTGTATCGGTGCTTCGAACTAGAATGAACTGATGATTACTTGTGGTAGTTTCATACTCAGAGCAAAGGAAAGACACACAGTAGCTTTAAATTGAGTGCAAAAACATACGGCTACAGTACCATTGAGATAAGATAAGGTGAGCTATAAATCGTATCAATACAGCAACAGGAAGCAGAATGAAAGAGGAACATGGAGGCATTGCTGAATGAGCCGACATCAAGCACTCTGGGTGTTTCTCAATCGCGAGTAAAGCTGCTTCAGAGCCACTATTTCAAGCATGCTACGTCATCGAGTGCCGCCGAAGTACTGTTCCAATCTCCAGCATACTTGGAAATCTACCGAGCCCGGCGTACTCCGTTTGGAGAAATATCGAGGCTGCACATGAGTAGACTCTGCGGTCTTAAAATCCCCACAATGCTTTGCGCACGGACCAATTTCCCCAAATCTGTGGCGGAAGATGTAAGAGGCGGGGCCTCTCATATGACGCACACCTGCACACTTGCTAGCCTGTTCCACACTTTGTTTTCCGAATGTCAGGAAGTATTCTTGACTCGCTTCTGAAGCAAGTGACTCGGAAGACATGTGCTACCAAGCAAGCGTACTCGCGATTGAGAAACACCCCTTGTCAGGGGAGTCAACCGTAACAACCAGGAAGAGAATCAAAATGACTACAAAAAGTCTGAAAATGTCCAGAAAAAGACACAAATGACTACAAAAAGACCACAAAATGACCACAAAATGTGTCAAAAAGACCACAAAAAGAGTCAAAAAGACCACAAAAAGAGTCAAAAAGACCACAAAAAGAGTCAAAAAGACCACAAAAAGACCCAAAATGATTACAAAAAGAAGTAAAATGCCACAATAAGACACAGCATGACAACAAAGGTACACAAAGGACTACCAAGAGAAGCAAAATGACCAAAACAACCAGATTTATTTTCTAAAACACGAAGGACACACACTGTCCACAGGTTGGTGTTTTAATACAGGCGTTCCATTTGATCCTTAAAATACTACGATTACATTTTATAATACAAAATAAAAAAATGGTGTCTGGGGCTTTTGTTTTGAAACTTCTACTTTACTTACTATTGGCAATCAGCGAGAATTACAGGATATAAAGTAGTGCAGTAAAGTAATGCATAGTGACATAACGGTGCAGAAAATAGGACATTATATATATACTATAGTACTTAAGTAAGACATTGAGGTACTTGTACTTTACTTGAGTATCTTCACATTATGCTACTTTATACTACACTATTTGTTTACTCCTACTTAAGGAATAAACAGTTTATAAATATAATATATAAACAGACACAATTTAAGTTTCCATAGTATATACATCTGGGTCTTTTATTGTGAAAGGTTTGACTTTCAACATGATCTAAGAGGAACTGAAACATTGAACTGGTTCATTTCAGAGTGAAGACATTTCACTGAGGTGTTTCTGAACAACAGCTCGTGATGTTTTCCTTCATTATGGCGGAGATAACCCATAAAGAGTTGTGGAGTTTAAAGAGTTCCCTCTGAAAGGTGAGAGCTTACCTTTTCAGACCGTCCACACCTGAGCCTCCTTCCTGCATCACTGTTCCAATCAGGATCCTGCCTCACCCATTACTGAGGCAGGACATAGAGGGAGGGGGAGGGGAGAGGGAGAGGGAGAGGGAGAGGGAGAGAGAGAGAGAGGGAGAGAGAAGAGGACGATGAGATCGAGAGATGACAGAGGGAGAGAGAGAGAGAGAGAGAGATTAGAAGAGGGGAGAGAGAGAGAGAGAGAGAGAGAGAGAGAGAGAGGGAGAGAGAGAGAGAAGGAGTGTCCCAGCTCCACGCCTTACTGTATTGTTCACTTAGTCATTTAGAATAGAAAAGAACCAAAAACGTGTCACACACACACACACACCCACACACCACCACACCACACACACACACACACACACACACACACACACACACACACACACACACACACACACAAACACCACACACACCCACACCACACACACACCACCCACACCCACACACACCACACCACACACACACACACACCACAACACACACCACACACACACACCAATTGGAATTGTCCCCTAAATGAAAACCAGCTCATCCTCTGACCACAACTGATCACACCAAGGATCTGGAGTTAATAATAAACTCTCACAAAGTGTGCTGTGTTTAGTGTGAGGGAACTTTAGCCTTTTGGGTCATTACATCTTCAACCAGATAAACACAAGAGAGACACAGGGGGGCGGGGGGGGGGGTACTCAGAGCGTGTACTTTAGTTAAAGTAGAAGTACTCTGATCATGTACTTGAGTAAAAGTAGAAGTACTCAGATCTTGTACTGAGTAAAAGTAGAAGTACTCAGATCTTGTACTTGAGTTAAAGTAGAAGTACTCAGATCTTGTACTTGAGTAAAAGTAGAAGTATTCAGATCTGGTACTTGAGTAAAAGTAGAAGTACTCAGGTCTTGTACTTGAGTAAAAGTAGAAGTACCAGAGTGTAGGAATACTCTGTTACAGTAAAAGTACTGCATTCAAAATGTTCCTCAAGTGAAAGTAGAAAAGTATTCTCATCAAAATATAGTGAAAGTAGCGACAGTAAAAGTAGTCATTGTGCAGATTGGTCCATTTCAGAATAATATATATGATATGTTTTATAATGATTGATCATGAAAGTGTTCTCAAAGCTGGTAAAGGTGCAGCTAGTTTGAATGACTTTGTATACTGCAGGGTAGCTTGTGGATTTACTCCAGGTGGAACTAAAGTCTGATTTAACACTTGATTATATTTCACATCATTCATCCACATCTGTGAAGTAACTAAAGGTATTAAATACATGTAGTGGAGTTTTATTGACATCAAAATAAAAGTTATTATCATACAGAATGGTTTTATATTATGAGAGAATATTAAATGCTTCTGTTAGTCGAAAGATCCCTAATAAATCAAATGCAATGTATTTTTCCACCACTAGATGTCAGACTGTGATACGGTTCACTTCTGCTCACTGAGCCTTCTTTTCATCACAGGAGGTCATGTAGAAACAGCACATGGTCAAAATACTCTGTTACAAGCAATGGTGTAAAGTAACTAAGTACATTTACTCCAGTACTTTAGTACAATTTTGAGATACTTGTACTTTACCTGAGTATTTCAATGTTTTTAAACTTTGTACTTCTACTCCACTACAGTTCAGAGGTACATGGTGTACTTTTCCTCCACTACATGTATTTAATACCTTTAGTTACTTCACAGATGTGGATGAATGATGTGAAATATAATCAAGTGTTAAATCAGACTTTAGTTCCACCTGGAGTAAATCCACAAGCTACCCTGCAGTATACAAAGTCATTCAAACTAGCTGCACCTTTACCAGCTTTGAGAACACTTTCATGATCAATCATTATAAAACATATCATATATATTATTCTGAAATGGACCAATCTGCACAATGACTACTTTTACTGTCGCTACTTTTACATACACCTGAGGACTCTTTAAAGTAGAGACACTACATACTGATATACACCTGAACATCAGCAGGAGAGGACTCTTTAAAGTAGAGACACTACATACTGATATACACCTGAACATCAGCAGGAGAGGACTCTTTAAAGTAGAGACACTACATACTGATATACACCTGAACATCAGCAGGAGAGGACTCTTTAAAGTAGAGACACTACATACTGATATACACCTGAACATCAGCAGGAGAGGACTCTTTAAAGTAGAGACACTACATACTGATATACACCTGAACATCAGCAGGAGAGGACTCTTTAAAGTAGAGACACTACATACTGATATACACCTGAACATCAGCAGGAGAGGACTCTTTAAAGTAGAGACACTACATACTGATATACACCTGAACATCAGCAGGAGAGGACTCTTTAAAGTAGAGACACTACATACTGATATACACCTGAACATCAGCAGGAGAGGACTCTTTAAAGTAGAGACACTACATACTGATATACACCTGAACATCAGCAGGAGAGGACTCTTTAAAGTAGAGACACTACATACTGATATACACCTGAACATCAGCAGGAGAGGACTCTTTAAATTAGAGACTTAGATTTAATAATTCTGTTTAAATAGAGCATCAGATAAATAAATAACATGGTGTTAAATGTTAAAACCAATCTAACACTCACTGTTTGGGAGTTGTAGGTGGATCACCACTTTCTTTCTGTTTATCACCCAAGCAACCCTCATTTAATTACAATGGAGGTCAATGACAGTTGGCAACAGCTCACTCAAATAGGTTGTTTTTTAAACGCTTGGGCTTAAGTAACTAAAGGTATTAAATACATGTAGTGGAGTAGAAGTACACCATGTACCTCTGAACTGTAGTGGGGTAGAAGTACACCATGTACCTCTGAACTGTAGTGGAGTAGAAGTACACCATGTACCTCTGAACTGTAGTGGAGTAGAAGTACACCATGTACCTCTGAACTGTAGTGCAGTAGAAGTACACCATGTACCTCTGAACTGTAGTGGAGTAGAAGTACACCATGTACCTCTGAACTGTAGTGCAGTAGAAGTACACCATGTACCTCTGAACTGTAGTGCAGTAGAAGTACACCATGTACCTCTGAACTGTAGTGGGGGTAGAAGTACACCATGTACCTCTGAACTGTAGTGGAGTAGAAGTACACCATGTACCTCTGAACTGTAGTGGAGTAGAAGTACACCATGTACCTCTGAACTGTAGTGGAGTAGAAGTACACCATGTACCTCTGAACTGTAGTGAGTAGAAGTACACCATGTACCTCTGAACTGTAGTGGAGTAGAAGTACACCATGTACCTCTGAACTGTAGTGCAGTAGAAGTACACCATGTACCTCTGAACTGTAGTGGAGTAGAAGTACAAGGTAGTAAAACATTGAAATACTTAGGTAAAGTACAAGTACCTCAACATTGTCCTTATACAGTACTTGAGTAAGTGTACTTAGTTACTTTACTTGTCAAACTGTAGTTGTACGTAATGTAACCTGATCATTTCCTTTTGTATTACCTTAAAAATGGTAATAAATCCAAGAGAAAATAAATATCCATCATCATGTTTAAATCAGTCTGTTGTATCAGGCCTTACCTTACACGAGGCATGTCTGCAGGCAGGTGCTGAAACTGAGGCTGGTCCTGCAGCATTTCTAAAATGATTTTTTAAATAGTCTGTTGACGTTCCAACAGGTGAGGGGGGGGGGGGGATGTAACCTCTTTACTCCAATACTAACCTGTTTTACATCCTGGTTGGGACTGGTTTGAATCACTGTTTGTTCTTCTTGAGAACCACTCAGAACCAGTTTGCTTTTCCCCTGAGAAGAGCCCGAGGGGAGCCACGTCTTAAGACCACTGTTTACCCCAGAATGAGTCCTAACAACTAGAAATTCATCTCTTCCTGTCCCCTTGTCTGAAGGTCAATGGTTAACACAAGCTGAAGAAATTGTAACGTTTTGTTCTACCACATAAATGCGTCAGTAAATACCCCACTGGTGAATTTAAAAACTGAGGTTGCTAACAGTGTCTAAATGAGACGACTAAACATCATCATGCCCAACATTAGCCACCTTTAGCTTAGCGGTGGTGACGTGAAGTCATGTGACCGTGCTGTAGTTCCTTTATAGCCCAACATTAGCCGCCCTTAGCTTAGCGGTGGTGACGTGAAGTCATGGGACCGTGCTGTCACACGGGGGGTGGGCGCTGAAACTGAGGCTGGTCCTGCAGCATTTCTAAAATGATTTTTTAAATAGTCTGTTGACGTTCCAACAGGTGAGGGGGGGGGGATGTAACCTCTTTACTCCAATACTAACCTGTTTTACATCCTGGTTGGGACTGGTTTGAATCACTGTTTGTTCTTCTTGAGAATCACTCAGAACCAGTTTGCTTTTCCCCTGAGAAGAGCCCGAGGGGAGCCACGTCTTAACACCACTGTTTACCCCAGAATGAGTCCTAACAACTAGAAATTCATCTCTTCCTGTCCCCTTGTCTGTCTTAGGTGCCTTACAAATAATGGACGTCCACTCTCGGGAGCGTCGGAGTGGTGCGGTCACCCTAAGTGACAGACCTAAAGTATCCGGGATTCAGGCACCTTCCCTGGCTTGTACATTTTTGGTGATGCGCCCTGGAGGTATCAGACTATTTTAAACAACTTTTCCCCGCCTTTCAAACACTTATTCCGGGGTTTTAGTCAGTCATTTTGCACGATATCATTTAGCATTGACGCTCTCCTGAAAATGCACAGAATATGTGCATTTTCAGGAGAGCGTCAATGTTAAATGATATCGTGCAAAATGACTGGCTAAAACTCTCTTCCAGACATTTAAAAATACTTTCCCCGACCATTTAAACATTATTTCTGGCTTGTAAAGTGCAGTTATGCGCCCCTGGAGGTATTATACTATTTCAAACAACTTTTCCCCGCCTTTCAAACACTTATTCCTGGGTACAAGTGTTATCTTTTCCCCCCTGGGTGTGTGAGACAAGTGAACTGAGTCAGCCTGCCAACAAGCAGCAGTGTGCTGTCATTTGAAACATGTTACCCCACTGTTCGACACACCTTTACCCACGTTTTGAGCACTTACTGCTGGGTCAATGTGTCCTCTTTCGCCCCCCCCT